CATCCAGCGACTGATCTCTTCGACCCTTTAGAACATTTAGACATTTAGAACTTCTTTCATTATTACTGCTACATCCTGTCTCATTGTCAAATGGTTGGTTGAACAATGCGTTTATCTCTTTCAAAAGCAAACTTTGAATTTTCATTACGACGTATTATAAGTAGAAGGTATTTGCCTTAACTGCTTTTCTCAGAAATACCACACGAGCACGAACCGTCAGATCAGTGATTTAAATGTTCCGGCGTTGTTCTCCCCTATTCGCGGTTTTCTTCTTCACTTTTGCCCCATTGTAGTCATTCTGGAATTTAATCTAACTTCACATAACAGTTTTTCAAGTTTCAGAAGCAATTCAAACTTCAAACAGCACAAAACATTCGTCGCGATAGTCCGCGGTAATTTTTGAGTAGTTCACATTGAAATAAATTCCAGGAACTGTATATGTTGAAGTTTTTTGGGGAAATTCTTAACAAAGTTGAACTTTTTCACTGAATATATCACTAGTGGATTGAATTCAATCTAAGAGACAAGATCTTCGTCAAATAATTTGACGCTTTATTCTCGAAAAGCATTAGATTTTTTCGAAGTAGTCATTCTGCTGTTCATTCGCCGGCATATTGTGTTTCAAATGTATATCGATAACAGCAATTGAATTTTCGTCTTTTCCTTCATGACTAGGGACAGTAGGGACACACATAAATATCTACTATAGTTTTTTAGTGTTGGCTGGTAATGGGAATGTAGCTAGGATCATTTGAACTAGTGGATCTCCCGAAAATATATGGGATTTGCTTTGAGGAACATTCATCGAGTATGTGCAGGCTATCAAGTAACGCAGGGCTTGACATATTATCACTACATACTATAAAACAAAGTCTGTCTGTCTGAACACGATAAAGTCAAAAAAAACTGAATGGATTTCCATAGGGCTATGTCAATGCCAAGTGATTCAAGGAGAGGGTTCAGGTGTGTATTTATTTATGTTATGTATAAATATACATCGGATATCTGCCACCCGCACTTAGAAGAATCGTAGGTCTCACATGAGAGCCAAGGGTTTGGTATTGTCACTAGAACTTGTACATATCATATGCACCTCTCCGGAATATTTTTTTCAAAGACAAAACACAAGCACTACAGGAATACCCTTAAGTTGTGAAAGTGATACATATTGTGCTTGAATCGCTAGAGATTAAAGTTTTTTCCACATAAACGCAGTTATACAAATGGGAGAGTTCTTGAATATGAGAACAATACTCCATAGAAGGTCTGAGGTGTGTACAGTTTTCTAGTTCGAAACAGTGTTCCAAGCTTTTCAGAAGCAGCC